GTATGTGTGTATTGCATGCATGTAGGTAAGTGCACCCATGTTGTGCAATGCTGGAGGAAGACAGAAGAGGCTGTCAGATCCCCTGGAACTGGGGTTATGGACAGTTGTTAGCTGCCATGTGGGTGCTGGGATTTGAACCCAGGTCTTCTGCAAGAACAGTCAGTGTTCTTAACCTCTGAGCCATTTCTCCAGCCCCAGACTCATTTTTAATGCTACTAACACTTAGATATTTGCACATGCATCTCTAATCTCTATGTATCTGATTATTATCAGTCACAGTTGGTTACACTCACTCCTTGGCACCTGAGTAGGGATATAAAGTCATCAGGCAGATTTCAGTGGTAATGTTTATCACCTCTACTAATTAACATGAAGTAAATTTTTATGCTTCCTCCTCAAATATAACTCATTTTTTTATTTGTTGAGTTTTTGTGTGTATATCATACAGAACATCCCAAACAATCTTATTCATCTATATACCCACTTCCCAAATGGCACCCTCCCATAGCACCACCCCACCAAAGCCCATATACTCTGTCATACCTGTTACTGTCCACTGTGTTAGTGCTCTCAGCTGTTCCCCAGTGCTTGTCCATCTGGTGAATCTCGTCAGCCTATCAGGAGAACCTTGTTTTAGGAAGATCAGCTGTTCCTCATCTAGCAGCAATCAGTTGTCAATATTCCTTTAGATAAGCTTGGGGTGTGCTGTTCGTTTCCCCAATTCTATGCTGGGTTACTGTCTGGGAGTCTCTTGGGCTACCCTGGCCAACAACTCAAAGGAAGGTATCCCCTGTCTGGCATTGTTTCTTGTTATATAGCCTTTAGCCATACACATGGACTCTTAAAAAGTTATATTGACCCCTTTAATCTTTGGTTATACTTTATTTTTGGGTGTTTAAAACCCTACAGTTGGCCCAGATAAACCAATTTATTTTTACTCTTAAGGCCATTTGAGGATCTGTTCCTCAGGGGTCACATGGGCTTGGGAGAAGCCCCTGGCTCCTTTCTTTTACCAGTTCCATCTATGTGACAATAAGTCAAAAGTCCTGCTTGATCATGGCTGTCTTTGCTTGGAAGCATGGAGGAAATGTTTCCTCTGTGTTGACCCTCTTTATAGACCAGACACTAGTTCAAATCCATCTGGTGGGGTTTCCACGGCCTCCCTGATCAAGAGGACAAGTGACTTACCACAGTTACAAGACATTTTGAGAGATGCTCATAGTCCCCTAGAACTTAGTTGACCTAGGAAGGCAAGGAGCCAAAACTGTCCTTTATATCCCCCTGACCAAATTAGTATAGGATTCAAAGTATGGCTGTTAAACATCCAAGAAGGTTAGTTCCACCAGTCTGGTACTTTTAATTAACATGTGCAATGTAGATAAAGCTTGGGCAAAGACCAAAAGTTCTCAGATAAACCTTGCCTAGACAGACATTATATTCCTTGATCTAACTGTATGTATAATTTGTCAGTAGGTTGTTGGACTAATATGGTTCCCTCTTTTTAAAATATTTTATTTTTTATGTGTATGCATGTATTGCCTGCATGTAGGTAAGTGCACCCATGTCGTGCAATGCCCACAGAGAACAAAAGAGACTGTTGGATCCCCTGGAACTGGAGTTATGGACAGTTGTTAGCTGCCATGTGGGTGCTGGGATTCAAATCTGGATCTTCTGCAAGAACAGTCAGTGTTCTTAACCGATGTTCTATCTCTCCAGCCCCCAAAAGGGAAGTTGAAGAGGCAGCCCTTAATTGTGGGTGCTGGGATCCGAACTCTTAATTTTTGGTTGTTAGCCTGAGCCTTTAACGGTCAAGCTGTCCCTCCAGTCCACCCTCTGGTTTTTTAAAACTAGCTAGGCATTATTTATCTCTCGCATTGTCTAACCCTTCCACCACGGTTTCCCTGTTTAAGGTGCCCCCATTTTCCCATTTCTCCCTTACTAATACCCTTCTCTTATAGTCCCATCTCTATTGAGCTCCTTCTTTCCCTTTATCCCCTAGGTTCTTTGTATAACCTTCCCCCCCCCCACTTAAAATAACTCCATTTTTATCCATATCTCCCTTATTAATAATGCCTGTTTCCTACTGTTCTTCTCTTTCAGGTTCTTTCTTTTCCTTTACCTCCCTGGTTCCTTTTCATTATCCTGGTTCCTGTAGTTATGTCTGGATAAATACTTACTTATCAGGATTTGGTGCTAGGATCCATATAGGAGGAAGAACATACGTCGTTTTTTGGGTTGTCTTTTTTTTTATTTCTGAGTCTGTGTTATTTCATTTAGTATACTACACCTAAGGCTCATAGAACATAGTGGAACCAGGGGTAGAGAGAAAAGTAGCACATCCCTTAACTCTCACCAATGAAGCTTCCTTATACAACACAGTATGAAGCACACAGAAGGGCACAACTGGCAAGGTTTTAGAGAATAAAAGACTGCAGAGTGTTAAACTATATTAGCAACTTAACCTAAGTTACTCCATCTTGCTCAGAATAGCTATTTTAACAGTAACCTCTTTTCACTAATGGGAAATATTTAAAAAGAGACAAAAGCCTTGAGTTCTAAGAAATAGCTCAATCACAAACCAGTGGAACATGCTAATCTCAGACATTCTACATCTGGCTAACTGCTTGTTTTCGCTTCTCTAACTCACTTGCTATGTTAGGTCACCTTGACACAAAGTATAAGCCCACCCTGTTATCATATGACCACCTGGTAACTGCTGATTCCAGCTTTCTTACTATACTTGTTATGGCTAGGAAGTTAACTAATTTTAAAACTACAAAGTTGATTGCCAAGTTATATTACTATATCACGTCTGTATAATGATTGGTTGTTGATTAATAGATTCAAAGTTCTGCTATGTTGTACAAACCTGATTGGTTCACAAATGTCCTGTTTGAATAATATTTCTGTAATCCTATAAAAACTCTGACCTGACAATCACCAGGGCTGCTTCTACTCCCGAGATAGACAGCCCGGCCGGTTTACCTCGCTGCTTTTCTTAAAGTGGTGTTGGTGATTTTTTACGAACTCTGTCCTATAACATTTATCACTTAGAATGAGACTCTCACCAAACCCCACACACTGACAAGAACATTATGCTTTATTTATACTCAGTCATGTAGTGTTATTTAATTCCACAATGGAGCATTATCAATGGAATATCCACGTGCAAGTACGGTGAGCAGTGACTGTACATCAGTGATGGTGATTCTGAGTCAGCCTGAAGATGCTCGCCACTAAGACCCTCACTGTAGTCATCTGATTAAAATTCTTGAACAGTAACCCAGTCTCTAATACTTTGGAAAGTAATGTTGATCACCGATGGGGAAACACATCTGTTGTGTTTGGGTATTGAAGACGTGGTCTCCAGCCAGTGCTGGAGGGAGGGCCTGGGACCCGAGATTTCATCTTACCCCAGTCAGACTGGCTAAGATCAAGAAAACAAATGATACCAAATGTTGGAGGGGATGTGGGGAAAGGGAACACTCATCCACTGCTGGTGGGGCTGCAAACTGGTTCAACCGCTATGGAAAGCAGTGTGGAAAACTCTTAAAAACTACAAATGAACCTAACGTCTGACCCAGTTATACCACTCCTTGGCATATACCCAAAGAACTCATCCTATTGCAGAGACACTTGTGCATCCATGTTTGTTGCTGCTCTTTTCACAATAGCAAAGAGATGGAAGCAACCTTAGCCCCTCAACTGACAAGTGGATAATGAAAATGTGGTTCATTTATACGATGGAGTTTTACTCAGCAGTAAAGAAAGATGAAATCATTAAATTTTCAGGTAAATGGATGGAACTCTTCTTAAAACTCACAGTTGTGACATTAAGGTAGAAAAACTTTTTCCTGTCTAGTGGTGCTCTCCTCTTTCAAAAAAGCAAAATAAAACACACACAACTCCTTTCCAAAAAACAAGTTTTTCAATGTTCTTATCTTGTTTAATTTAAAACAGAAGAAAAATGTTCATTTAAAATTCAAATTGTAGCAGCTGGAAAGATAGCTTAGCAGTTAAGAGCACTGGCTGCTCATGAAGAGGACCCGGATTCAGTTCCCAAAACCCACATAGCAGCTAACAACTGTCCTTGACTCCAGTTCCAGAGGATCCAAAGCCCTTTTCTGACCTCTGTAGGCACTGCATGGCATAGGTACACTTATGTACATGCAGGCAAAACACTTATACACATAAAATAAAATAAAGAAAAAAGTTTAAATGTAAAATTCAAGCTGTAGCCAGGTGTGCTAGTGCATGTCTTTAATCTCAGTGCTCAGGAGACAGAGGCAGGTGGAGCTCCATGAGTTCAAGGTCAGCTTGGTCTACATAGCAAGCTCCAGGCCAGCCAGGCTACATAGTGAGACCTTGTCTCAAAACAAAACAAAAGAAACTAAGTTGTTGATGTCTGCTCAGCCTGTTTATTAGAGCCTTATCAATGATCAGGTTGGGCTCTGTGTCTCTGAGGCTTATTAAGAATTGGTTGTTATGGCTGGAGAGATGACTCAGTGGTTAGGAGCACTTGCTACTCTTCCAGAGGACCCCAGTTCAGTTCCTAGCACACATATCAGTGACTGACAACCACCTATAACTCCAGCTTCAGGGGATCTGATGCCCTCTTCTGGCCTCTTCAGGTACCTGTACATATATAGCATATACTCAAATAGACATACACATAAATCAAAATATTTAAAAGCACCACTGAAATGGCTCAGTGATAAAGGCACTTGCCACCAAGTCCAACAACCTGAGTTTGATCCCTAGAACCTACATGATGGAGGCAGAGAACCAATTCATGCAAGTTATCCTTTGGTCTACACATCTATGCTGTGACACATGTAGACAGACAGATGTTAGATAGATGATAGATAGATAGATAGATAGATAGATAGATAGATAGATAGATGATAGATAGATAGATAGATAGATAGATAGATAGATAGATATAAAATTTCTTAAGTTAAAACTTTTGTCTTTGGAAGTATAGATTTTGGATTAAGGATTGCTTAATGCTATGGAGGAAACAATCAGATAATCATTCTAACTTTAAAAACTAAACCAAATGGTTCATGTATGGTGGTGCACATCTTTAATCTTACCACTCAAGTGGCAAAGGCAGGCAGATCTCTGGGAGTTTAAGACCAGCCTAGTCTACACCATGAGTTCAAGGCCAGTCAGAGCTACACAATGAGACTCTGTCTAAAAAAAAAAAAATTAACAAATGGGCCAGTGGGTAAAAGCACTTGCCACTAAGCTTGACAGCCCACATTTTATTCCTAGGATCCACATGGTGGAAGGCGAGAACTGACTCCTGAAAGTTGTCCTCTGACCTCCACATGTGCCCCATGGCATATGCACCCACCCTCACACATACATAATAAATAAATAAATGTTTTTAAATTTAAAATGATAGATTTAAGTAAAAGCTACAAAATGTTTGGGTTTTTAAAAATCTGTATGTATGGACATTTTATATATATAGAGAGAGAGAGAAAGAGAAAAATAGAGATCTTATATATAGTCTACATCTGTTTATGTTTTTATGTTGTTGACATGATACCATTGGCAGATAAGATAAATGATTGCTTATGTAATAAA